GCAACAAAAATTGATATTAAATCAATTCCGCTTTAGCAGTATAGTATGTGCTACCGTTCTGTGACGCCCCATGTCAAACTTCGGGCGGATCTGATCAGGGATCTACAAGTGTAAACGAGCCATTAACTTCTATCAATAAAGGGGCACGCTACTCTATTTTTGGGTCCCCCTGCCTCCCGCTCACTGCATGACGTTTTCTAAAACAGCATGTACAGTGCATAATATACACTTTTAAGGGTATGGAAATGGTGTTTCAGAGACTTCAATTTACACCTCCGTTTTTACAGCAGGCTTACTTCGAGTAATACAGTTATTATACTTGTAATGTTTGTTGCTGTTGCAGAAGAATCCGATCAATTGTGACGGGTGCAAAACAGAGAGGGGAAATATAACAGCTTAAGCAATTTTACTGAGGTTGTTTTAGCCGCTATGTCGAATACTTATTAAACGTATCGATGCGTTTTACCATTCCATACATTTTTTTTTAACATCGGGAGGTTATGCTTGTTTCCTCGTAAAATATAAACGAGAAAAAAAATACGGACATCTTGTAACATAATTATTCTCTAAAGTAGTCACCGACTAATATGTAATATTCTCCTGTCAAGTACCGGACATTCATAAGAAAAGAGTACCGTATTTGTTTACCCGCAAAAAAAAAAATTATACTCATCGAAGAAGGCTGAAACATTGGGAAAATGCGATGATTACGGTTGTGATAGAATGGGGAAATTTAAAATATGAAGTTACCTGGATCGAGATATAAAAGAGAATGAGAAATTTTTTATTAAGCCGAAGTCTATCTAAGCCTTTTTACCTTAAACAAGAACGTACAATGTGGGTGCCTTAAGAATTATTTTGAGTGGAAACAAAAATGTCACAATGAAATAAAGCCAAATTATTTTTTGACAAGTATTTTATCGCGAATTTAAATACCTCATGCACCCGCAATATTAGTTCTTCTTTTGACAATATTAGGCTTAGTTAAACCTGGCTCATAGAAAGTTCGTCTTTTTCAATAATCTTTTCATCCAAGTAACGTGACGTTCTCAAATTTTCTTGTTCTATACTACCCAATAGAGGTCACATTTTTACGGGGTTCGGGCTTTCTGAGATGGATAGCTTATTCACGCGGTCCTATGAACACGGTCCTCTTTTCTCATGAAACCCTTTATATATAGACGGAAGATCAGTCAGCACGATTGTAATACCGATCTCGTGTATGCTTTGTGGCGTTTGTATTTGTAGTGTCTTCGCGTGTACGTGGTGCTCATTGCTTTAATGCAGGTCAATGTAAGAAGTTCGGCCCAAGCGGGTCGCTACACTGATGGTGCCATTCTTAGGGTGTAGCCAGTGCGTGTTTTCTGGGTCAAAGGATGTTCGACAGCTCGGCGATTCAAGGCTAACGAGTGTTAAGTACCTCTTGAGTTTATTTCAATGTATATTTTATAAAATGAGCCACTACACGGCTGTTTTATTTACCCTGTCTTGAATTATTGTTGCAATTATGACTGCTTCCATCTGCTAAGCTTTTGCCACAAGAAACTTTGTAGATGCACTTTATATGCATTCACAAAAAATGTAATAAATGGTGACGTTCATAAAGATAATCACATTAATTGCACAAGCGAAATATTGTTTAGAGTTTTTTTCTGTACAGTTAAAAAAATCGTCGCCAATAAAAATTGGTAATCTTGAAATGTTAATCAATTGTATGCGTTGAACTGACGCATTAGAAGATACGTGTACACCCGACTAGAACAATTATGACACCTGTGGTTCTAGTTCGTTACATTTTTAAACAAAGAAGTAGCAATTCGACTATTTCAACGACAAGGATTCAGTAACGCATTTTCACTTACTGAGAATAACTAACGCACGACAGTATTCAGTTACATTATAAGGAATATGTACCTCACCACCTTTGCAGCACGCCTTACTCGGACTACGCTTCCGCCGTGATTCAGAAGAGCCCGATAAAGAGGATGGCGGTCGAAGTCAACGCCGTAATTACTAACTTTTGTGACTGTGTTGCTTGCCCATAGAGCATAGAGATTAGCAATAGCAGCCTCCTTATTTAGGCTAACAGGAACCAGAATGGAAATTTCGAGCTGAACTTTTGAGACTCGCTAATGATGTTTGTAATTAGTTACAATAGAGGAGAGTAATGAGGCTATGCATACTTTTTACCATCAAGGCGCGCCTAGATGGTATCGTTAGTCTTCTTATCTGCGGCTAAAAAGACTAACAATATTTTTTCACGTTTCAATGAAGTACACTTGTACGCGCATCCCAAATTGGGATGCGCCTACCCACGCGCATCTCAAATTACGTGCATTCCTAATTACTAAAAAAACGGTGCATTTGAACACAAACCTACATGGCAATTTAAATTCATAAAATGCGGTCACCATATTGTTTTTATTCGCGCTGACACCAATAGAAAGACACTAATCATTTTGGTGCAGCCATTTTTTTATATACCGCTTAGTCATCTTGCAGATGAGATCTACAGTCGCAATTTTGATGGTTTGATGGTCTGTTTTGCAGGCTGCAACAACACTCAGTCAAAAAAGGAGTGCCAAAAGTACATCGAAGTTAAGACCGAGTGTAACATCCAGATGTAGAATCTTTCACGGTGGTTATATGACCTAAAAGTATTATGCCACAACCACACACCATCTCCCACATAGGCCAGGTAGGCGAGCTCTTCGCTTTAGAAAGCACCTCGGCCGTACGAAGACATGTCCTGAAAGAGCACTTACAAAAACAACCTGCTGGCACATCACCTTTGTAATGAACGTTCTCGATACACGGATCGCAAATGGCGGCCTACTGTAATAGCAAGCTTCGGCGACACTTCAAAATGGGGCTCTTTGATAAGAATCTCTGCCTTCGTTTCGGTAGAGCCGAATGTTGGCAGCTTAAATTTACCTCTAAATAAGGTGCAAGTTTGCCGTCTCCTTGCGCTTCTCGTGCGTTTGTATACCCCCCAAACGCATCCAGGTGCGTTTGTTTGTCCCCAACTTCAACCAAGGACGGCCCACGTTTGGTCATCTCGCCATCGCGCGTTTTCTGAAAGTTATCTAAGGTCTCCTTTGATTGGAGTGTTCTTTCTCGCGTGCTGCTGCGTTAACGACGCATCTTGAAACACTGGCTCGCCGTATTCATTTAATATTTAGCTTTTTTACTTCTGACTTCATTTTAGAAACAAAACAAAAACTGTACCTACAGGCAGCACGATGAAGCTTTGTCCCGACTTTATAAAGAAATAAGAAATAGAACAAGATTAAACATTTATGAAAACAAATTAAAGGGAGACAAAGTAAAATACGGGTTTTAAGCACTTGCCTGTTCGTAATCAACTGCCGCTATAGGCTATCTTTAGGACAGGCTAGCAAATTGTTCATTAAAACATTCTAGTTCACACGAATATTTAGAAAGCAAATTAATTAACTTCGATTATTTTATTTGCTAATGTACGTGTTTCGCTTATGCTCTTACGAACGTGACGGCAAAATACATTATCTCTAAAAAATTTCAGCTCAACTCCATCGACATTAAAATGCTTAATTGTGTGTTAAAGTATATTTACCGAGAAGTAGTGCTTACGGAATTTAAAATCTTGACATATTTGCTTGGCACTTCAAGGAAAACATTCATCTGGGAGGTGAAGTGGGCGTTCATAACTGTACTGTACGAAGACTACACCGCAAAAAAAAAATCGCCGATGTGATGTTCGCCCGAACAGTGTGATCCAGTTCGCACAGCCTTGACACAGAAAGAAGATTGACGCTTTTTACAGGTTATACTCAAACAATGAATTACGAGCAAAGAGATGCTGCCTTTTACGGGAATGCACTCAATGATCACGTTCTGCTACACTACTCGTTTTGATGAGAGCTTTTCAGCTCCAAGAGAAATAAAAGGGACAAATTAGCCGTTTTAGTATAGAGAAAGTAGCAAAAATTGCGAAGCCCCTTTGGATCGCAATACGCGATTCTTAAGAGGGTAAATGGAGGATTGAAGTTGTGCCTCGTCAATCTAGTTCCACCTCGATAAACTTCAATTTAATTTAGGTAGAAATAGTCACCACGGCAGTAATCAAAATTATGCCTTCTGCTGACAACATTCGGTTATTAATTTAAAAAAATATATACAAAAAGAGTAAAAAAAAGGTATACTTATAACATCGATCTTGGCTAATGCGGAATAGACGAGGGTTTTGGTAAGTTATGAAGAAATAATGCAAGTCTATACAGATCTGGAAAATGTGACTGCTCAGTGATATTGTGTTGTTTATGTATATAGCTGCTTGGTGCAAGGTGCTTAAACAGGTAACCTATAAATGAATGTAGAAGTCTTCTGAAACGACGAACACTCATTTCAGTACTTCGAATCCGAACGTTTTGTTGCATGACATGTAGATTATTCCTAAGAAATATATTCCCGTGACACGGAGTAGAATTATTTTCAGGAAAGTAAAGCGCTATTATCATATTTGCGACCGAGAAGGACCGAGAGACACAAGACCGGAGTTTAAGCCTCTTGCGACGGCGTAGGATCGGATGTGCTGCTGCGGAGCAGGTCCTACACCGTTGTATGAGGCTTAAAAACAATTTTTTTTCCTTTTTCAGATCCTACTCGGTTGCTAGTCTGTGAACGGCGCTTTACTTTCGTTAGCACGCTACTACAATTGGTTGCGACACACATTTCAATCACACCACTACGAAGGTTAGGAATGCGATACTTAAGGGTGTACCTTGGTAACATCAGCAAGCTATCATTTTGACTCGGAGTGTCAGTGACTAAAATACATCCCAAGATATCATCCAGAACTATGATGAGAAAAAAATATTTGTTCTGCTCCGTGATTACTGGTGCCTACGTAAACCAATGGCAGAGAGAACGGAAAAAATGGTGGTACAGTAGACCTACCAGAAATAATCAGCTCTTTTCGATAAGACCTGTTTTCTACGGCAACAGAGAGTGGAAGAGACACTTTGAAGGTCAATATCAGGGAGACGTGATACGAGCTTTGAGAGCGACAGCCCCAAGTGATAAGATATCTCGACTGCAGCGCCAGACCTCCACAGAGATATTTCGTGCAGGCTACACGGTCGGGTTTGAAGTGCTTCGACCCCTGATTTTCTATAAATTATTTTTCCGTAGTTTACTTACGCGCTATAATGAGTAGACACGATTTAGGCCGGGCTTCAGCTGGACGCAGTAAGTTCAACTTCTTTTAAATAACCTACTTAACAAGTCGATTTGTGGGTAGTGTCAAACACCATATCATTCCTATTTCATTCTATGTTGTGAGCTTCTGCTAACTGGTTAACAATTCGTAATTTATGGATTTTCGAAAACTTGTAATGTTACTTAAAGTCAGAGATAACAATGTGCAAAAATAACTATGTTTGAGTCAGCATAAGATTAAAGCGGTTCTAACCAGTCCTCTATTAGTCTTCTGCAAACGTTGTATAATTATTTGGTAGGCTTACGTTTGGACGTCGGTCTGTTATGTTTCATGGTTACCGCTCAATTAGCGAAAACATATTGCACTATTTGGTGACCGTTCAAAGCTTTCAAGTGAATAATAACGGCGAGGAAACGTTGGCCGTGCTGCCTTTATGCAATTATTTTACAGAGTTTTAGTATTATCCAGTTTACTGAAGAACAGTTCTTGGATAGATCTTTAGTGCATTACAATTCAATTTTGTTTATGTTTAGAAATTTTGGAGCAGTTCTAACTGAGAGCATAACGATCAACGCCTCTTAATGTCAAATGTGCCTAAACTTGTTTATAAAAGATGGCTGAACGTCTGGCGAGTCTCAGTTGGTAAGGTTATTTCGAGTCTCAGTTGGTTAGGAATTCGGCTGTGATTCCAAATATCTTATTTCAATATTTTATATGAACGTCAGGAGTGCCACAAAGCTCAAACCTGGGGTCACTCCTTTTTTCATGATATTGTTTTCTTCGTTAACAATACTAACATTTTATTGTTTGCTGATGAAATCAAGCTATATTCATCGGTTTGTGACGCTGGGGACTTTGTTATTGCAACAACATATTGATTGCGTGACAGAGTGGTGTTCATCTAAAAATTTGTTTTTGAACCCACAAATGGCGAACATTATTTTGGAGGAAGCGCGATCATATGGGTTCTAAATACACACTTCCTTGTGCAACAGTCATACAGCGTGTTTCTGTCATGCGTGAACTTGGCATTCTTGTTGATAGCCGTCTCACATTTGAAGAACATGTCACTTCAATAGTGGGTACTTCCCTCCGTAGAGGGGCCGATTTCACGAATGATGCGCAACTGATGGAGCTTTACGTGTTTGATATATTTCTTTTGGTCCTGTGTTCGCTCATGACTTGAATTCAACTACGTAGCGTAGAACTATTTTTCTTCTAATCAGAGCAACGAAACCTAGTGAGTACAGAAGCGCGGGATGGGAACAGTTTATGACAGACACTTTCATCGTCGTTGTTACTATAATTACGAATAGCTTGTGAACCATTTCGGCTTAGGAGAGCTGTTTGAACGACATTCCATTCGTGATGTGATGTTTTTGCATTAAGTAATTTATGGTTAAATTGATATCATATCACATTTGTCATCTGTGAACCTTCACGTACCGATGCGAAGTAGTAGCGTGATCCTACCATTTTATCCGAATAACCCATATCATGTCTCACCCAAGTCTATAATTACGCCCTCGTAAAATGAAATTTAGGATGCCGATCTGGACACACATGCACACATTTTTTATCAATGCTGAAACGACTACTTTGTTAGAGGGCAACTCTTAGGCGCCCGTTTCTGGCTTGAGCGACGCCGGCGTCGGCGTCACCGTTGGCGTCGCCTTCGGCGTAATCGCGCGGTGTATTATGGGACATTTCGCGTGATGCAACGCGCGGGGAGGAGGTGGGAGAGGAGGACAAGGGGACGGGATGGGGAAAGAGGAGGAGGAGGAGTAGGGGAGGAGGGAGGGAGGCGGAGGAGGAGGGGAAGAGGAGAAGGAAAGAGTGGAGGAGGAGGGATGAGGAGGAGGAGAGGAGGGAGGGGGAAAAATGAGAAGGGGAGAAGGAGGGCGAGGAGGAAGAGAAGGGAAGAGGGGAGGAGGAGTAGAAGGGAGGATGAGATGGTGAGGAGGAGGGAGGAGGGGTATACCCTCCCCTCAGTACCCGTCCCACCTCCTCCTCCTCAAGAGCTGCGCTCTAATTCGGCGTTACAGGGTGTTGTAAGCGTCTTTAATTTTTTTACTGCATATTTTGTTTGTTTTTGCTGTAGGGCTTTGTTTCGACTCCGTATACTGATTGTACATACCTCTGATAATCCCGTATTTTGTTTTTTCAGTGGGCTCTGTGTTAACGTGAATCTCATTTGTGTTCGTGGTGTACCAATACGAAAGCCGTTATGGCTGTTTTTGATTATCCGAGATAAGAAAGTATTGTTATTATTAGTTTTATCTCCACGAAACCTTGTTTATTTATAGGTCCGGACGCATAGTTGTTAAAAACAAGAATTATATGCGTTAAACAAATTATGACTATTCCGAGTTTCGTTATAGATTAAGTATAGGAAATTTGAAGTCCTCTAAGGTAATGAGTTTCTACATTTGTCTTAACATAACAAAATCTAATACAATGAACGGAACAGAACACTCAGATGATCAGAAATATTTAGTCGGTTTGCTCATTTGATACGCACAGAACTTCTGCGTCCAAACCACAAAACAAATAGCAAACCAATTAGGATATGCCACTTTGCTATTATTTTTAATGAGGGAATTTAGCACATAAACTTGTTCAAACAATAACCTTCCACTTTTTTCTTAAAAATCACACGAGTACACGTTGCGTTTGTCCAGCCTCGTTTGCCAGACTGTGTACCATTGTAATGCCTGGTTTGAATCGTACATAAATGCGTATAATACCTTATCATTCATTATTTCTGTTTAAATACAGTCATATTCAGTAAACAGTGAAAACTTCGAACGTGTATTTCAAGCTATAGTAACAATAAACTCTGAACTAAAGGGTCCGAGAAATCAGCCCTATATTACAAACGCTGTCATAGAAACAGATATACGAATTTACAAACTACAGTTTTCACCCCTCCTAAACTATTGTTCTAGAGAAACTGAAACATTAATGTCGAGATTCAAGGATGGAAATTTGTTATTAAAATGTGAGTCGCTTAATCAATGAAAGATTTAAAATTAAAATAAAAACATTTAAAAACACCTAAATGTTGACGCTCGCGGGCTTGTAGCTATTTGCGGTAGAGCTGTTTTAAGAGCCACAAACAAAATAAAACAAAATAAAAAATGCAAGTAACACGAAAGTAGGTCTTTAGAAGCTAAATTTGCCCACAAAGAAGCGTAAAATATAAACGCCTTTTTTACTTTCGTTTTTTTCCCGCAGATCAGAAAAGCATGGAAGAGGCACCGCCCAGCTTTGTGTCGGGAACACTTATACCATTGTTCCTGATGCTATTAACGCCAAACATCGTTGTCTGTGGGATATATTTTGTGGTGGTATACGGATCGTCCATTGCTGAAGTCTCGAAGATTGGCTTTCTTACGTTCTGGTACGACTCGTGGACAGCACGAGGACTTGGAACCTACGAGACTTGGCTGTTCCTGCTCCTCTTCACTGCGTACTCTGGACTCTCGCTGGTCATCTTGCCGGGCAAAGTCTACTACGGGCCTCCCACTTCTTCAGGACATAGGCCCCTCTACAGTCGAACGGGAGTGCTCTACTACACGTTGACAATGGGAATAACCGCGTACCTAATTCTGTACCAGGACGTCCGTTGCTGGAGCATCTACCGAAGTCTCCCCGATGCGGCTGTCGCCATGACCCTCGTGGGGTTCGTGGTATCCTCCCTTCTTTTCATCAAGGGTCACGTGAGTCCCTGCCCTGGAGAAAGTGGCTCCTCCGGGAATATCATATTTGACTTCTACTGGGGAATGGAACTGTACCCACGACTGGGGAAGCACCTGGACGTGAAACAGTGGACCAACTGCCGGTTCGGAATGATGCTCTGGCAGCTCATGGTGCTGATCAGCTGGAAGGCCCAAGTTGAGGACAGTGGCTGGAACTGGTCGATGGCAGCAACGGCCATACTCCAGACTGTGTACATCGCCAAGTTTTACTGGTGGGAAGATGGATACATGACGAGCATCGACATCATCGTTGATCGTGCAGGTGAGAACATTGCTTGATTGTACTTTGAGGTGAATGTCGTTCTCAGTAAATATAGACGCATTAATTTGTGGATAGGTTATCTTTTACCAGTCAGCAATGTTAACCGACTTTTAAAATTTCTGAAATATGTTTATATCGGCCAAAACTTCAGCTATGGACACTTTGATAGTCCCAACATAATTCTTAGCTAGAATATATTTGCTTTTTCTGAAGCAAAAGTGATGGGCAGGAAAGAAAAAAATTATCATAACAATTTGTAAATTAGCTGAAGGTGGTTAAGTTACACCTGTTTAGAAATCCGTATTAAGCCTATTTTGTCTCAACAAAAAAACCTCGTCGATCTGAAGTGGCTGAAGATAATGACAAGGATGCGCGATGTCAAAGAAATCTGTAGCTTAAAAAATTGGTTATAAACCAATTTCCAATTAAAATTGAACCAATTAAAAAACATCAATTTTTACTGAAGTTGGTTATAAACCAATTTCCAGGCATGTAGAATACTTCTTAACCTAACTCATATTAAACAGCACGGACCTTGAACATTGCATTCTCCTGGACACTTTTGCAATCGAGGTGAAGTCATATCGACACAACGGTCAGTGAAGTTGACATTGTTTTTAGATGAAACCTACTTATGCAGAACTTTTATTGAGAGGGCCATAGCCGCGCCCGTAACAAAAGAAGCTCATGCAAAGTTGCCCTACAAGGTGGGTCCTTGTTTGTCCGTTTTTGTTTCTTGGCAACCATATTACGCCGTTTATAATCTGGTTAATTTTTCGTTCTATTTATACGTTCGTATCTAGACAAAGGAATAAACAATTCTTTTTCACAATTGACAGATTCATCAGCGTCGTTGTAGAATAAGCCGTCTTCGTGGCAAAAGGTGAACTAAGAGAAACAGGTGGTCCTTATAATATTTAATTTTCACAATTAACACAAAAAACAACATTGTGTCCTACTTAGCATTGTATAACCTGATTCGGTAACTTTTGGAGCGCACGTACCAGAACACACTTTCATGAGCAGAAGGATAGGGCGCAAACAAGGTGGTGGTGGTTAAACATTAGTGGCCAAAACGCCGAGACTGGGACGAGGTGGGACTCACAAAATTAGTCTATTATGTGTTTGTCAGTCCTTTCCCGTCTCAGTATCGGGCTTAGCGATTGATATAGAAACTTTCAGTTTAGACCGCGTGAAAAGATCTTAAAATAATTATTTCTGTTTTCTAACTTCCTTTATACGATGCCTGCAAAGTGGTCTCGTGATGCATTTGTCAATTTTTAATGGCATATCAAGATATAAAAACTTATTTATATCTTTAACAAGTGCAAATTATATTAAAAAAACAATCAAATATAAGAACAACTCATATCCAACCTAATTGTCCCTAACATTACCTCTCTAACAACAACGGTTTGGCTATAATGTCAAGACTCTGGACCAATAAATAAGAACGTTCTTTCTTAAAACACTAACTTAAAAAAGTAGTATGGATATTTTTTACACACCGTTAAAATTATTACGTTCACTTACTAAGGAAATTTCAATTCAATAAAATCAAACAGGGCAGAATAAAGAAGGAAAAATAAGGTGTTCCTTGTACTATTCTCGCTTTTTTCGATTCATTCTTCTTTTATTTAACAGCATCACGAACCCATCTAGCCCAACTCACCATTTCGTTTCCGAATAGGACAATGCGAGACTGAGTAAACATTGTTCTATAAAAACTCTGCTGATGAAGAGTGAATAATTCGGAGAAAACTAAACTGTAAGACGAAAGGTAGTAATATATTCGCCCTCCAAAATAGGGTGGTTATCATTCCTAACTGCATTTCTTCTGGTGCAAGTTAAATTTATTTCAGTGAAATTGTTCAAAACACGTGCCTGTATATTATTGAAGTCCCCGTAGTGAGATGGCGGCACTTATTATATTACTAAAAAAAAATTAAAACTAATTGTAAGAACAAAAGTAAATTCTCAGATACTATCTTTAGGTATAAATCAGTTTAGCTGCTTTATTTTATTGGCTATTGCGCTATTGGTTTCGTGATTTGGGAAGCACAATTTTAAGAAATGGTCATTCCTATTTGTTTATATAAATACAATACATCTGTACTATCTTGAATAACATTCTTACAACATATTTCAGTTGAAGATTATGCGACTTTCAAATAATATTTTAATTGTCACAAGTGACGCGTGCCGAATGCCAAATAGCTTATGACATGTAGATATACACTTTATCTTAGCTAAACAAAGCCTTTGACATGTGGTCCTAACTCACCTTAGGGAACAGTCGATAGCTTGATGGAGAACATTAAGCTCAATAGTTTTGTCAGCTTTCCAACATATTGCAATTTTTCTGTATTATCTTAGTGCTCTTACCTGAAGAGTAATGTTTATAATTATTTATTTTTTTCCCCGAAGGTTACTACATCTGCTGGGGCTGCATCTGTTTCCTGGGTCTGCTGTACGGACTCACGAGCCTGTATATGGTCGAAAACAGCCCAGAGAGCAGCGCAGCATTTGGAGTCGGTGACATCGCCTTTGGTCTCGTCATGATTGGCTGCAACTACTGGTGCGACTACCAGCGGCAGGTTGCGCGGGCGTCCAACGGAAAGTGCCACATCTGGGGATCCCCGGCGAGGGTCATCAAGGCGTCGTACCGAGACTTGTACGGCAGGCAGAAGACAAACCTCCTTCTGGCGTCGGGCTTCTGGTCGCTCAGTCGCCACATGAACTACATATTCGAAATTCTATGTGCCGTCTCGTGGGCCATTCCGGCCGGTGCCTCAAGTATCGTGCCCTATCTGTACCTACTCTACCTCACTGGACTTTTAGTTCACCGGAGCTACAGAGACGAGCGGAAGTGTTCCATAAAGTACAATCAGTTCTGGACGCAGTACAAGTCGTTGGTCAAGTATCAGCTGCTACCGTACGTCCTGTAGTGTTCAGAGATGGGTTGCGGTTTGAGCGCACCTGTTGTTTCAGCTTCGAAATGATATCTGCTTATCATAAGTACCGATGTCGACTACATTGTAAATCGTTCAAAATATAGATATATATATTTTTAAATACATAATCTATGACGCAGTGTATAGTGTGTATTTTAATAATTTAAACGTACCTAGTTAAAGTGCAACATCTGAAGCTGCGTCAATTGGGTAATACCAACTGAACTGAGGTCCTGCCAATGAATGCGCAGTGACTTCGAATAATTAAGGTTCCACTTCGACAACGCAGGCAACACGAAGTGTTGTAATAACATGAAAATAGAGTCGATAATCAATGAGATGACCGTATGTTCAAAGCAAACCGATGTTGTCCTCGGAAACCTCAACGAGGGCACAACACGGTGTTGACTGAACCTCCAGCGCACAAGCATTTCCCTTATAAACATGGAATAAATAAAAATATGCAACCTTCTACACTAATATTTCCCCCTTGAGTCGTTGCCCAATCCCTGCTGTCACTGTTTACAATAAGAATTAGTTACTTTTATTTTTAAAAACTGGCAATTTGCGTGTTTTAGATACTTAGTCATTTACTTGTGCAAGATTAATTTTAGTATATCCGGAATATAGACATTTGATACGTTATTCTAGTCATACACCTTAGGAGAAGGGGCCGCTCATCATCCTCAGCTAATTAAAATATCTATTCGGCTCTTTCCTAAATCCCCCCGCCCTGCGACAAGAGTAACAGTACAGATGAGTGAAAGGCTGAGCATGGAGTGACACATGAGCACTCCGTGTCTTCACTAAGGGCTCCATGGGGGAACTTAGCTGTTGACTGGCAATATGTGGCTGAATGCCCCAGTTCCATAATTTCAAATATTAACAAAACTTCCCAATAAGACCATTAAAATATTTATGAAACGTTTTTCTTATTTGGTACTATGAACTTGTTTTTGTTAGTATAAAATCACTTCGTCGGGTAGGCACATTTTCGACTATGTTGTGTGTCATGATCTGAAAGAGGTATGCCTTGTCTTGGTTTTTTTTTTCTTCTTCTTTTGTGTCAATATTTTTTGTTGTGAATGAAAAGGACAGTCGATAGATAACTCTATGTTTGTGTATGTCTAATACGTCTCCTTGTGTTCTTTCTGACGCTGTTTTTTATGCTCTGATGATACACCTACTGGCCCAACCCCACTTTTTCAGGCGGCAATCATGTTTCTTTTGTGATAAACTATAATTTCATAACATAAATACATAAAACCCATAGGAAAGTGCAACTCACAAACTTTAGAAGCGGGCTTTGCCATGCCACACTATGAAACGTACTTCATGACTGCCATTCTCAGCGCCTGATTTGTACTGCGATCAACGGAGACGATCTATTTTCCTTTCACACCGCCGCGGCTATTGACCTGACAGTAATTAAAAGGACGGTGCAACAATTATTGTACTTTAAATATATACCATTCATAACTAATATTGGACGTTAATAACTTCAAAAACACACATCCGTTTTTTCCTCCACGCAACGGCAGTCACAGAAAACAAGATTAGAAATAAATACGAAGAGTTTACCTCTCCAACCCGCAAATACCATCTCGAAGACAAGGCCTGTGCATGACATCATCATTAGTAGATCCCCGACCAGCCCCAAGCGGCAAACAGACTGAAGCTTGACGAGAGTACGGGCCACGTGCGGCCGCGACTGCTGAGCGCAAGCGTTGGCGCGAGCTGATAGCGAGCTTCCACAGTTCATTCGGAACGTGCATGCGACACCATCAAGATTGGCGGTCTCAGCAGCCTATTAATGTGAGTTGGTGCTACAACATCAATATTGCCGGTCTTAGCTGCTTATTAATGTGAGCTTGTTCTGAGCATGACTATTAGCGTCAAGATGTTTTAGTGGCGTCCTCCTATCGTGACATCATTACCTTCCGAACAACAAGTTCGATGGCGTTTGTAAGGAGCATGGAGGAAGCTTGAAATCATTGCGAGCTTAAAGCAACACTACCAACACCGTCAAAATTGAGGTTCTTCCATTTCTCTTATTTCCGTCGATGAGAAATCCTTTGCTGACGTCATAGTCTGCGTTCGGCCAAACGCGGAAGGCCGACCAGAGCGACGCTTTCGATCGCGGAGATCGCCAATAGTGAACTACTGGGCGATTAAAGAGGGGTCAGGTTCTTTAAATCGGACGCAAAATTCGGTTTTTTAACCCTCGGCCACTCGATTAGGACTCCCCTTGGGAGCGGCCTGACGTATGCCTCACTTCGCCGGTGATAGCGATAGTTCTACTTTACCCCGCAGCGCCAGCCGCTGCGCTCGTTATCGGTGAGAGATAAAGTTGCTTTCGGGGGAGCATATCGAGGAACTCTATACTTCGTTTCACGTTAGTATGTACTTGTTAGCCGCGCGTGCTAAAAGCGCGAGATAGTTTCTTCTAAGGAAGCCTCGGCGGTTGCATGCGCGCTCGTGCAGCGAGTGCTCCAGTCAAGGCAGAAAAGGCTAGCCGCTCGCGCTAGCACAGCATTCGCGGTTATTCCATGCTAAGGTAAGACGAAATATAGTGAGAGAGGAGCAGTACGCCCGGCCCGGCCCGGCCCGGTGCGGTTATTTAGATTTTTTTTTTACGTGAAGCTGCAAGTCTCAATTGAAACGAGTGCCAGATTGCATGAATGATGTGACAAATCTGTGTAGAATAAAAGCACATGATTCTTTCTGCGAAAAGCTCACTCAGCTGCAGGCTGCGCTTTAAAGCTCCATTCTGCTGGCAGTATGAGCGAATTGTCGTTTTTTTGTTCCCGTAACTGTTGCCCCGTTTCTATTACCACCGCAATATAGGAGTTATAGTTGGATATAGCTAGGCCGTATGATCTCCGGTTTTAACCGATGCTCGAGCACGCGCGAGCTGTGCCATTTATTTATCTGTGAAGGCCAATATAAAATAGGATTCCGCGTGTATAACTTCAGCAATATAAACTTCATTGTTCACAAAAAACAAACCAGGGGAGTCATATAGTTCACAAGCGGAGTACCTTTCGGGAAAGAGGTTTCGGCGAAAGCCTCAATATATTCTCTAGCGGGCTGTTTAGGTCACCAGCCCAGTTTGCCAAAAAAGGTCTGAGGAGTTTTCTGAAGAGTTTTCTGAGGAGTTTTCTGAGAAAGAGCTCGCAGAGCTCTTCGCTGTGGTAGGGGTCTCGGCAGTTAACACACCACATCAGCGGGCAGTCCATAAGGTGTCGAAGCACAGCGCTCGAGAGACCTTGCAAATCCTTCCACAACCACGAATCTCTGCCGACTGTAGAGCCGTCTCGACAAAGGTGCAGACGAGCTTGCACAGCCAGACAGCTTCAGGTCGTGGATAGCTGAGTCCTCCTTGGTGAAGGCTAAACGTGGACTAATATGCTCCGTCATGTGATGCATTTCCCTTAAGTTGCGCTTGCATTCTGGACACGTCACCTGCAAAGTTTAGCGGGTTCTACACATTAGCCTTCCTTGCTTTCACTGAGAAATTCTTATTGCTTTGCTAGGTGGAATGTTTCAGCTAATTACTCTGAAATTACGACAATTTATACAAATAAAAATGGTCACCTTTGTTCGCAAACGAAGGCCAAGTAGCCAGCCATGTAAGTCAGCGGTGCGAACTCAAGTTCGGAAGAGACTTCATTGTACTTCATCAACTGAAGGATTTTCTGTTTCACGAGTGGAGTTGGCACATTTCATCACCGTCTGGCACTCAGAACTAGAACGCGCATTTACATTTCCGGCAGCTTCCAAAATGCCTACACAAACCACACACGCGAGAGCAGAGTGACAATACGATATTTTCGCCGAGCACAGCGGTGCATGGGGGGGGGGGGGGGGGGGGGGAAGCGAGTTTTGCTGCCTTCTACAACTGCGGCAGCGCCTCAGTTTCGGCGAAGCCAATGACGGGCAGATATTTTATCTGGGTAGCGGAGCAAGAGCGAGTTGGGCGCCTTCTCTATACTCCGTTTCACCTTATGTTGTACCGCAGCGAAGGCTCGAAGCGCGAGCTCATAGCGTTGACAGCTGCCCTTACTGCACGAGAGCTTGTGCCGCCGAGATCTGCCTCAGAGCAAGGAGCTCGCGCTTACAGCCTTTCCTGTGGTACACTGGGTGAAACAGAGTATAGCCTTCAGCTCACAAGACCGCTCACCGATGTGCAGCGCCCCCACGGAAAATGGGAGAAGTTCTCCTCTCACGCGCGCTCTTTTGTTTTCGGAAAGACATCGGCAGGCCGTACCAACAGGGGGGATCGATACTACCGTGCTTAACCTATCGCGCTACGACTTTGTACAGCGTTGGCCACAGATGGTGCATTTTTTTGTTGTTGTAAAATTTGCAAAGAGCGAACCTACCTGATAAAAAAAAAGTAAAGAAAGAAAAAGGCTTAGCTCCTATGAAAATTCAGCGGAGAAAGAAGATGCTACCGACGAGTTCGGACGCGTTTTCTTGAGCTCCCGCTATCAGGTCTAGTGCCTAATACCGATGACTTCAAACACCCCACCGACTTTCAGCCCCTCACCCGCCGCGGCCCTGTTCGTGGACGGGAACTTCAGGAGATGGACACGCGCCCAGCAAGCCAGGCAAGTCCTGCCGCCGCCGCGACGGACCTGGGGGGCTATGTTGCGCTTTTTGCACCCCCAGGAGACTAGGGAGAGGGAAGTGACGTCAACAACGCAGGAAATGCAGATTGGATTTTGATTTTGTTTTCTTCTGTCAACATCCAATATGCATTTGCTCTAGTCGTTGACGTCACTTCCCTCTTCCTAGTCTCCTGGGAGTGCAAAAAGCGCAACATAGCACCCCAGCTTCCCACTTCGCTGATCGCTCCCGCAAAACGCACCGCGGAGGAGGAACCTTTTCTTGGTGAATCTTCTACAACTACCAATAACGTAAATTTAGCGGAAATCGCGCTGAAGGCTCTATTTGCGGCGATTCCGAGAGAAGGCCTCATTGACATCTTTAAGAACTTTCTCGAAGGGTCCAGTCCAAGCAAACCCAGCAAGGTCAAGAAGAAAAAAATGAGACAAGACCAACCCGCCGACGGCGAATTTAACGTCGAACTCAACAAGCGTTGCTGTGTCCGAAGCAACAACGCCAGCCCAAGAAAAGCCGAGCACAGCAGCAAGTCGGCGCCAAGACGCCGAGACAACTGCGCTGATGATATTTACAGCTGGCTGTGCGTAAGATGGCGTGGCCGAAACCAAGTGGCAAGGTCCATTGCCCTCAGACAACGAAAAATGGACACCAGCCACCTACAAAAAAAGAAAGCGGGCACGAGTAGACCCCTCACTCCAAGCCCACGGAACGGTACGGCTCCGACAGTGCCTGTTCGAGTACAAGGTTCGCCCTACGAACTCTCAAGTCTCGATAAAGCCTTACCTTCAACCACTCAAAGCGCAATGCACCATGCTGCGCACTACAGCATCGTTCTCGATGCACCTCATTGA